GACAATGGACCTACTCTTTCAACCTTGCAAAACTAAAGATGAAAAAAAAAATCAAACATTGTCATCAGTATGTAGCACCCCCAAAACCGAAAAGCACCAAAATCATAGAAATTAACCAACAAGATGCAAAAACAACTGAAATGCAGTAGAAGCACGAGCATGTAGTGGGAGGAGTTGCCTGGCTGGGCAGGTGCCTGGTTGGGCAGTTCCCTGCCTGGCTGGGCTGCCTGCCTGGCTGGGCAGGTGCCTGTCTGGCTGGGCTGCCTGCCTGGCGGGGCTGCCTGCTTGGCTGGGCAGGTGCCTGGCTGGGCAGGTGCCTGCCTGGCTGGGCAGGTGCCTGGCTGGGCAGGTGCCTGCCTGGCTGGGCAGGTGCCTACCTTGCTTTGCTTGGGCAGCCTGCGTGTTACGCTTGTTTTATGTTCGGTGCAATAATGGAAGCAAGGTATAGATTGAATACAGTAAAAGCATATCTCATCTACTTGTTGTGCTTCCGAGCAATTGTTGACTATGTCAAGTATAAACTTCATCACGTATAGGGCACAATCAAGTCCATTGTTTTGTTGCGCACACTGACATGCCACAAAGGTATTGTTATCATGCGTAGCCATTACCGAAGCCAAGTATATTAAACAAATCACTAACTCAAGGCATTACCTTTGCATATTTCCACTTAGGACCCGCAACAGAACGACAGTTTAACTTCTTCATAACACTTTACGAAAATAAGTTCTAAGTTTGAAACATAAATTCTCAATGATTTAGGTTAGGGAAATCAACAAAAGGAAGCAATATGTACCTATTCAGTAGGTTCTTCACTAGAAACCTCTGTGGTGGAGTCTCTCGAATAGAATCAAAGTGGTAGATTATGTTACTGGATACACAAATCACCAAAAGGGTCCAATGATAACTGCATATATTTACATAAACGTGAACATATTATACGCCTCAGCTAATTGTAATTTCAGAATTTGGAAAAAAGCAAAAAACTTAATTATGACATTTTGTGACGTACTCCTCAAAACATGGGGCTAATATGAACTTATCTCCACCACGAGTTGATTCCTTCATACTCCTTTCTAGGTAATCTTCCACTTCACGAGGGTTGCTTAAGCATTTGGTAATGGAGGTTTGCTCGGGGCATAACCACCCAATTGCAGCCTCGGAGTTGCATCCACTAACAAGGTGCTCCTGTAGTGCCCTTCACGTCAGTAATGTAAGGATTAATTATTAATTACATTGTTTATATTCGAAAATGCAAAGCCAATATGATTATGATTATTGGCATTGAATTACCTCATGAAAGCTTGAATGGTGGAAATGTTAAGCATGGCACCCGATTGAAATTCCTTCACATCCTCTTTTGTAATTGGTGCAATCCCATCGTCATCATAGTGGAACATTGCCTTAGGTAAAGTCACTTCAATAGATCTACCCCTAGGCAACTCGCTCACACGGTTGTGAAGAAAAGTACATGCTTTGGATAGCGAGTTCAGCATGTCAGCTTCTACTAGTGGAGTACAACTCGCGGCCGAACCTCTCGAACTCTTCGTCAACCCTTGTCCTGGTCCTTGTTGGACATTCTTATATTTTGGCTTCTCCACCTTCTTCATTATGGATGACTGTATTTCATTTGTAACATAAAAGCAAATGGTTAAATTACAAGCTATATGGGACATGTTTTTTAAACAAGCTAAGTAGTGAACACTTACCCCTCCTATCAGTCTCACTCGATCACGTGGCCATTGAACAAAGCTACCTTTCGCATCAAGTAGGGTGATGAAGTCATATTCCTCTCTAGGCACCGGTAGGGGCAAGTCCTCAAACCCAGGTACTATGGAATTGATGCCGACGGAGATGTAGTGGGTATTAGTAGTAGACTTGAAATAGACCTTGTCAAACGGTTGTGCGCTACCATACCCCACCAACTCACCATCCATGTTTTTCTCGGGGTGAAGGAGCTCACATGGCGTCTCTTCCTACACATTTTATTAGGACAAGTTATAACCTAATTAACCAGCGTCATGCTAATACAAGGACATATAAGTGAGACTTGAAATTTACCTGAACATTTGGAAAAGGATCAGATTTTTGGTTTGCAATCCCTCTTGAGTCTGCATGCTTCGGACTAGGATTCTACAAAAGTTCAAAACAATCATGTTAAGGCCTCGTTTGATGATATGGAGTTCATGATCTCAATTGTAATTCAATTACCTCGCTGCCAACAACTGGATTGTCCATGGCATCTTTGGGTTGACTACATGAGTCAACTGGGGTTACCAGGGGCATAGACAAGGTTGGCAAGTTCATATGCTTCAAAATAGCATTGAATTGACTTTGCAACTATTCTTGCACCTCTTTGAGGATCTCCGCCTTTATTGATTCTTTTTCCTTGGCATCCATTCGGTAGGGCGAATTAACACTTGATCTAGATCTTCCTCATCTAGTGTAATCTGAACCCATAACCTTTTCCCACCCAAGTTGTTTGCCGCCCGCTCCAATTACTCGCCCAGGGTGGTATGGTTTTCCCAAAGCCAAGGTAAAAGGATCGTTCTCAATGCTTGGAGTGAGCTTGCCTTCAACCACTTCTGACGTATGCTCGAGCTGCAATAACACAAAAAATTTGGTTCATTCTAAGTTAGATGTAGTCGTTATCGAAATATTAAATAATGATAACGGTGAAATATTATCATAAATGTCATAGATTAGGGTGCTTACAAGTGCATCTGCTACTGTTTTGGTATCCGGGTGCATGACGTACTTCCCGGTGTTCTTGTCGATCCCATGCATAGCACACCACCAGTCATTGGCACGACTCACCAAAGATGTCACCGTGGAGGGAATCGGTGTATCAGGTGAAGATATTTTGGATGTGGGGTACAAACCCTCTTTTATCCACTTTTGCCGACTTTTCGCAAATGTCTTACAACCCATATGATGGTTATACATTTTCTTCTCAGCATTGCGCGTAGCTTGTTGACTTCTTTCCTACACATTAGCAATTGTTCGCATCATTATATGAAGTGAGAAAATTTTTCAAAACAACTGTAAATTATATAAGATTACATACAAGTGCAGTAGTAGTTGTTGATTTCGCCACGAACTTCTCCCAGTCCTTCACCGTTATTTGTGGATATACATCCCACGGTTTCTCCTCAACTTCATCCTCTCCTGCATTACCCTTCAAAGTTTTCTTGGGTTTATGCCTTTGTTTCTTATGGATCCATCTTGTTCTTAACGAACTTTTGAAGTTTTTGAATCTCTCTTGTACAAAACCTTCAAACGATCTCCTCTTGTCTGGGTCATCGGGAATATTGAACACACTCTATAAGAATCGCAAACTTCCATGTCAGTCAAGTGAAAAAAAATTGAGGAAAAAATGGAGAAAGGAATTAGCCAAAAAAAAAAAAACACATTGCAAAATAGCCCGGGCAGGCTGCACAGCCAAGCAAGAGCCTAGTCAGGCAGGCAGCAGCCCAGGCAGGTGCACAGCCCAGCCAGGCAGCTGCACAGCCCCAGGCAGGCACCTGCCCAGCCAGTGCCTAGCCAGCAAGGGACCTGCCCAGCCAGGCAGGGACCTGCTCAGCCGGGCAGGGACCTGCTCAGCCGGGCAGGGACCTGCTCAGCCGAGCAGGCAGCCCAGCCAGGCAGGGACCTGCTCTGCCGAGCAGGCAGCCCAGCCAGGCAGGGACCTGCTCAGCCGAGCAGGCAGCCCAGCCAGGCAGGCACCTGCCCAGCCAGGCAGGGTCCTGCCCAGCCAGGCAGGTAGCCCAGCCAGGCAGGTAGCCCAGCCAGGCAGGGTCCTGCCCAGCCAGGCAGGCACCTGCCCAGCCAGGCAGGTAGCCCAGCCAGGCCTGTCATGCTGCACCCACAATGAGGCAGGCTCGAAGTTTGGTTTTTAGGTACGAATTTTTGTTTTTTCCGGTGCGAATGCATTGATTTTGACTCGAAGTTTTATGAACAAAACTGAAATAATAAACACTTACCATTGTATCATCCCAAAACATTTGAAGCAACCCTTTTGGAATCTCTACCCAGTCAAGTGTGATCGGTATTTTACGAGTTAGGATGCCAATGTGTGTGGAATATTTGCTGCGCCATTGCCCAGTAGGTTGACCCAACTCGTCAAACTCTAGAACCATGTGTTCCGCGGGCTTCTTAAATGCTTTTGTTGGACCCCTAACCTTTCTCTTTCCCGATGCCTTTCCACCACTGCTGGTTTTCAGTTAACGTTGCATGTCCATTTGGCCGTTTAAATCTTGTACAAACTCGGAGACAATACCATCCACAATAAGGGGGCACATTCAGCTGACATCTCATAAGCATCAAACCTGCGCTGCAACTCATCATGAGCTTGGTCTTCTGGTTCGCCCAAATCTTGCTCCTTATTCACATCATACAACTCGTCACCAGATTGAGAACTACCATGGTCTTCATCATCCATATCCTCTACGTGATGAATGTATTCATCACGACCCATTTTATGTACACACCTACCACCACAAGCAACGCAAATTATTAGTATACAAAACATGTTTACAAGCTGAAAATGCGATTAATGAAATGATTTCATGCTAATACAAGAACGAAGTGAACAAAATATGTACAAAATGGCAAAAATGAGCTTCTACCATTCCCAACTTCGCTATTTTCATACCTATTACACAACTAATCCTTCTAACAACTCACATTAGGTATACAAATAAGTGTTTAAAAGCTGAAAATGCGATAAATGAAATGATTCCATGCTAATACAACAATGAAGTGAACAAAATATGTACAAAATGGCAAAAAAGGGCTTCTACCTTTCCCAACTTCGTTAATTTCATTCCTAGTTCACATCTAATCCTTCTAACAACTCACATTAGGTATACAAAACATGTTTACTAGTTGAAAATGCGATAAAGGTAATGATTTCATGCTAATACAAGAACGTAGGTAGAAAAATATGTACAAAATGGCAAAAAAGAAGATTGTCATTACAATGCAAAAACAAATGTACCTCATTCGAGTATTCCCTCATTGTGGTCTGCTCGAATATAATTTGCATCCTTGTCTACATCATTTGATACGTCAACTCTAGGGGCAGTGAAAGGGGGTGAATCATCAAACGCATCATATTCGTCCTCGTCTTCGACATCTCCAAACCCTAAGATTCTTCTCTTGCTAGCAAGGACGATGGACCATTTAGGATCGGCTGGGTCAGTTACATAGAACACTTGCTTAGCTTGAGATGCAAGGATGAATGGTTCCAAACTATCCCGCAAGTGGCCAAGGTCTACAAGAGTGAAGTCATCGTGTCTGATGTTGCGCCTAATATTATCGACCCATTTACATTTAAATAGACCTACCTTGAACTCACGATAATCTAGTTCCCATATTTCCTGAATTCGTCCGTAGTAGGATAATTGTGCGTCAACCGGTGATGTATCCTTCGCACTGGCAAACTCTGTTGATGAAGCCACAAGAGTGACACCACTATTTTGAGTCGATGAGGATTTCTGATCACGATGCTCAGTCCAGAATGTATACCCATTAATGTCATATCCCTCAAAAGAATAAACATCTTCCTTTGGACCATAAGCTAGCCACTTTACAGTATCAGAGACACTCTCATCCAATTGACGCATAACTCGATCATGGAACCATGTCACAAACATCTTATTATGAAACTGCATTAGTGCCCTTTCCCCTTTTGATGGAAATTCTGCACGCAAACTATCCATGTGCTCTTCTAAATATGGGTGAACCTCCGCAACATGATGAAGCACAAATAAGTGAGCTTGCAAGAACTGATCATGAGTAGGTGAGATCCGTTTCGACCCGAGTGTGCCATGACCATCAAGTCTCCCTTCATGTCGGGAAGTGGGAAGCCCAATTGGTTCAGCAACGGCAACATACTCCGCTACGAAATTACCAATCTCCTCCGCCACAATCCCTTGAATCATACTACCTTCTGGATGGGCTGGATTCCTGACTTTATGTTGTAATGTGCCCATGTGTCTTTCAAAAGGATAGCACCACCTCATAAAGACTGGACCACACATCTTGATCTCACGAACCAAATGAAGGACCAAATGCACCAATATGTCAAAAAATGATGGTGGAAAATACATCTCAAATTTGCACAATGTTACAACTACATTCACCTGGAGAGCATCAAGTGTAAAAGGATCGAGCACTTTGCTGCATATAGTGTTGAAAAACGAACAAAGGCTCGTAATAGCTTCTCTCACGTGCTTTGGTAAAATACCACGAATGGCCAATCGGTAGGAATACTTACATCATCATGTGACAATCATGAGATTTCATACTAGTCAACTTCAATTCCCCAGTCAAGGAAACGAATCTTTTCATGTTTGACGAGAAACCAGAGGGAACCTTAATGTCATACAAACAAGCACAGAACTTTCGTTTTTCTTCCTTTGACAATGTGTAGCAAGCTGGAGGTAAATACACCTTTTCATCTTTCTTCTTTGATACACCGATGCCCTTTCCTTTACGCTCCCCCTTACGTTTATTGCCACCATCTTCCCTTACCTTTTCCATTACCTTTGCCTTCCCTTCCTTTGGCTGGACCCACAATTCCGGACGAACACCCCACGCTTCCAAATCTAATCGGGCGCTCTTCCCATCCTTTGTCTTGCCATGAATACCCATTATTGTCCCAAGAACTGCATCACAAACATTCTTCTCTATATGCATCACATCGAGACAATGTCTAACATCATGTTCTTTCTAGTACTCAAGCTTCCAAAAGATCGATTCCTTTTTAAATAAGGCATGTGGGTCTAAAGGTTTCGAAGTTTTACCAAAAACAGTTGGTATACCCTTCACTCGACCATACACCTCATGTCCACTCAATGGCCTAGGCGCAACCCCTTCTTCAACTTTCCCATTGAAGGCCTTTTTCTGCCTACGATATGGGTGATCGCGCCGAAGCAATCGTCGGGTCCTCACGTACACATCTTTGCCGTAGTGTTCAAGGTACACGTTTGGTGTGTCATCGATACAAATAGGACATGATTTATGCCCTTTGTTCTTATACCTGGACAGGTTGCCATATACGGGAAAATCATTAATGGTCCACATCAGGGCTGCACGCATTAGGAACATCTCGTTCTTATGGGCATCATAAACAGAAACTCCTTCGTCCCACATCTTTCTCAAATCATCAACAAGGGGCTCAAGGTAAACATCAATGTCGTGTCCAGGTTGCCTTGGCCCCGTTATTAAAAGAGACAACATTACATATTTTCGTTTCATACACAACCACGGAGGCAAGTTGTAGATCACTAAAAGTACCGGCCATGTGCTATGTTGGGTACTCAGAGTGCCAAATGGATTCATACCATCGGTGCGCAACCCAAGCCTCAAACTTCTGACTTCATCACCAAATGCCCTGACCTTCATATCGATGTTCTTCCAACCCAGAGAGTCAGCCGGATGCTTTAGCATACCGTTTTTCTTTCTTCCCTCTGCATGCCATCTCATGTTCTTAGCATCTTTTGGTATTGAAAATAGACGCTTGAACCTTGGAATGATGGGAAGATACCATAACACTTTGGCATGAGGTCCCTTCATACCAGCATTGCAGCTCTTTCGCTTGTAACGCGACTTACCACAACGTGGACATTCCTCCAACTCTTCATATTCATTTCGATAAAGAACACAGTCATTAGGACATGCATGTATCTTCTTATACTCCAAACCAAATGGACACATGAGTTTCTTTGCATAATAGTACGACTTAGGAAGTTCATTCTCATCAGGCAACATGTCACATAACACAGTCAACAAAGAAGTAAAACTAGTGTCGCTCCAGTTATACTTTGACTTAATGTTAAAAAGTGTTAGCACGGTTGATAATTTGGTGTATTTTTTCGACCCGGGATACAAAGGCTTTTTGGCATCCTCTGATAATGACTCAAATACATCACATCGGTCACCAAATTCACCTTCAACATTATGCATCATCTTATCCAAGTGATCACCACCAACGTCCTCGATCTCATCCCCATCCTCATCTCCATCTCCACCACCATCAGTACCATAATCATCTTCCGCACGAATCTCGACTTTGTTATCGTGAGTATCATTCCCAACAACATTCTCCCTATACGATCCCTGTTCACCGTGCCAAACCCACACATGATATTGAGGCCTAAACCCATGACATACCACATGATCCCTTATTGTATCAACACTGTCGACCATTGTCACATTATTACAGTTGACACAAGGACAATAAAGGTCATTCACACCCGTTTTGATCTGATATTGTGAAGCACTATCGCAAAACTCTTGGACCCCATTAAAGAAATCCAACGTATCACGTCTACCATACATCCAACCGCGATCCATCAACGTTTTAAATTGCCTTTACGCAAACCAACACATTATAAATAATGTAAAATTGCAACATATAATCAAAGTACATTGTTTGTATTTATATCGTTCATGCATATAGTGTAAAAATGAATGCTCCCAAAAAGGTCCTTATCACTCCAACCTAACCCATCCTTGAACGTCTAATCTCACTAGTGAATGTATGTCAACTTTCCAATTTTAAGGAAAATCCGGCAGCATTTCGCCCCAGTTCTCCAAGTACACAATGTAGGTAAATATTTACCTACATATGCACCCGGAGAACATGGAGACGAAATGCTAAGCCGAGATATTCCTTAAAATCGAACAAGAGACATACATTCACTACCTAAGTGAGATTAAACGTCCAAGAACAGTCCCAACCGGGGACTATTCAAGTCTTCCTCCTAATGAGAAAGACTTGAACGGGGTATCTAGGCAAATGATGATGCAAGCATTCAAAAATTTCCATTTGTTTGACATTTAACAAAACACAAGTTCATTCATTCATACAATACTATTTAGACTACCTACAAGCAAACTAATCTTACTTTCAATCCATTCATTAATTCATTACTTTTTAGCTACTCAAATTAAAACAACTTATAACATTATACAATTAAGGTAAGAATTAACATTTTGTATACAAATAATTCATATATTAATAAACATAAAATTTGATTAACTAAAATTGAAACCCTAAAATTTGGGAAATTATTAACAACATATAAGTAATGAATTTAAATTAAGCATGAACTCACCCAAAAATATGGAATGTGGGGTAAGAGGGAGAGGTATGGTGGGCTTAGGCGCACTTGGCAGAGGAGCTTAGGCAGCTTATGGTTAGGTTGCAGCTAGCAATGGAGCTTAGGCAGCAGGGGCAGCAGCACGACGGAGGGCGGCTGTAATACCCCGTATTTTTTATGTATTTTATAAATTATTTAATTAATTATAAAATATATTTTTAAAATACTCAAGTATGTTAATTAAATATTTAAAGGGCTAAAGTATTTAAATTATTTAGTTTTATAAAAGTATAAATTACTTTGGGCTAAACGTTTATTAATCTTTTAAGCTCGTTTAAATAATAGTATGTAAACAATCCTTACATACTCCTTGTGGACCAACCCATTTCATTTAAGTAAGCCCAATTCTTTTACTTGAACCCTTGTGGGTCAAATATTTCATAAATAAAGTCCATTTGTTTATTAATCCCAACCCTAATCTTTATTCCCTACTCTATAAGTACCTCTCAATACCCCAAAATTTTCCCACACAAAGAACTTAAAAATCAGATTTTGGGGTAAGTATTATTTTCCTTCTTTTTCCTTATTTTTCTTTCCTTTTTCTTTTCTTCTTTTTCTTTCTTTTCTTTCCTTCCTTTTTCTTATTCTTTTTCCTTGTTTTGCTTCGCTGCTGGGACTTCATGCGTGAATTCCCACGCAAGTCCATGCAACCTCCATGCATGCCCCAAGTTGCAGCCACCTCACCGTGTCACCACCACGCTGCCACGTCATCATGTTGGCGCCCAGCCGGAGCTCCGACGACCCACGTCGGCAACCACCCCCACCGTGAGCCACCCATCTCTCCTCCTCCTTGCTTTAAATTATTGTTTTATGTAGTATATATTATTGGGTTTTGATTCTTGTAATTTAAATATGATTAGTATATTTTATAATTGTGTTTTGATAACTAAAGAGTATAAATTTCTGATTTTGTATGGTTTTAAATTATGGTTTATATAAAGTATTAAAAAGTTAGGGTTTTAACTATTAAAGTGTTGATTTTTAGGGTTCTAATAATCAATTAAATTAGGGCTTTCATTCCTATTGAATTTATAAAGATTAATTAAACATAAAAACTGATTTTCGGTAATCAAATTCCGATCTCCGTTCTTAATTATTTTTAATCACGTTTTAATCACGCTGAGATTATAACTTGTCCGATTTTTACAAAAAAATAGTGTTTTTCATGTGTAAGCAACGTTATAATCATAACTCACTACCATTAAGTGAGTACCACCCTCTCGTGGCCAAAATCAGCCTCTAAATAGGGGTTTCGGACAGTTTTTGATTTTTGACGAAGGTTTAATGTTTTAAAAATAATTTTCAGATTTATTTTGGGGGTTTAAATTTTAAAAAGTGTGCTGGAATTTTTATATAAACAACATGAATGAGTTTTTACTTTGTGGTTTTAATTACCCACTTAAAGAAAGAGTTTTAAAGGTTTTAAACCAAAATTTCGGCTTATTAGAGAAGGTTTAAAGTGTTTAAAAGTTGCTAGAAATTTGTGTAATCAAGGAAGTAATTGAGTTTATGTATTTGGTATTGTAGGAGACTTTAAGTTGAGTAATTTCTAGCATTGTGGCTAGTTGGAAAGATGATTTAATTAAGGTACGTACAAGAATACGAAGAACCTTGATTTTAGGAGCATGTTTAGGGACTTGGAAAAACCTAGAATCATGCTAGGGAACTTGTGGATTGGTTGACATTGTTTGGTAATGAGTTGATTGATGATAAATGTGATGATTGGTTTAATTTATGTATGAGAAATTTACATTGATTTTCCTTATGAGCATTATATACGCAATAATTTGCAAAGTGAGCTTAGAGGCAAAAATACAAGGATATATGGAATGAATTATTTTATTACTTGTTCATTAATATTGAAATGGAATGAGTAAAGGAAGAATTAAAGTCTTATAAGACGAGGTCGAGGATTTGAGGTGCTTTATGCACTTAAGGTGTTTATACACCGAGGTAGTTAAATGATTCAATAATAAATATTGTTTGTCACTAATAAATCAAGAATTGAATTGGAAATTTGAATTGCTTGAGTGATTAATGTTTGATTGATTGTATTATTTTGCATTAGAGTCATCACCAAGTTTAAACTTGTAAATCACGTAAAGTGCAAGATGGATGAGCAATAAAACTCTGGATTTGTGCACATCTAGAGTAATGACAAACAGGGGTTGGGGTTCACGGGGTATTAGCCGTGTACTTTTCAGTGGCCGTCTGATCTACGAGTCTCTTGTTTTAAATTCTTTTAAAACTATAATGAGTTAGATGAGATCTCATACTAGCTATGGCCACGGAGTCGCGCCCGTCTGCCATTGGATGTTTATTAATGTCTTCTGAAGGGAGGCATAGGGTTTTCTTATTTAATGTTCCGGAATGGAGCACAGGGGGACAACCCGGTCTATTGCTTAATCCAATCAATTAATGAAGTGATCAATGCTACTTAAATAAAAACTTTGTAATAAGTAACAATTGAATCATGTGTTCGAGTTAATGATAAGTTTGTGAGTATATGGAATGCTTGATAGTATCATGCTAAGACTCTTTACTGTGTTTCGTAGCTTGTATGTACTCAGCGTTACTGATGACGTGCTTTTGTGTGTTTCTCTTGGTCATGGCCTTCGCCTTCAATGACCCTGTAATGATCCAATTCTTACACTTGTAATATTGGGGAGCAGACTAATCACAGGTTTCTGCATAAACTGAACTTGCATCAGGGTGATGGGATTTGAGTGGAGCGTTGGTTATTCATTTAGCTTATTTCATTTCATAAATTGATGTTATTTGACTCTAACTCTACTCGCTTCCTATTTTACTGGGTCTTGAATATGGGCCGTTATGGTTCCAACTTGTAAGAATAAATTGAGTCTTGACTTTTTGGTTTTGAAACTTATATTCTTTTTAAAACTAAGTTAGTTTTCCGCTGCTGATTTCTGAAACTAGCCTTAACGTTTTAACACGTGGCTGTAGCACACTAGTAATTCTCTCACAGGTTATTAAAAGTATTTACAGGTTACTACAAGTTATTACAGGTTAATACAGGTTTTGAAGAGAGAATTATTGGGGTGTTACAGCGGCTGTGGTAGAGGCGCCGACAATAGAACGGCGGCAGCTTATGGTGGTTGTGGTGGTCGTAGCAAGAGCAGCTAGCCCTATTCGAACCCAACACCGTGAAGCAGAACGGTGGTTCAAGCCCTTCAATAGAACGAAGACAAAGGTTGTAGTTGTGGTGGGTAACACATGCACGACAATGGTGGGTGCTTGTGGGCTGTAATGGTGTGTGAAAGTGAAAGAGGAACGTTGAAGGAGGTGAGACAGTGAAAGAAGGAGCGCACAATTGAAGCTAGAAGGAGGGAATGAATACGAGGGAAAGAAGAAGCCTTTAACCCAGTTTTTTTTTAAAAAAAAAAAGGAAGCGGTTTGAACCGCTTCTAATTACTTATTGGAAGCGGTTCAACTCAAACCGCTTCCAATTCTCTCTCTCTCTCTTTTTTTTTTTACGCGGGGTATTTTTGTACAGAATTGGAAGCGGATTCCAATAACCGCTTCCAATTACTGGCTTCCCATTACTTTTTTCTACTAGTGTTTGCGGGAGGCAACCCGTATTTTTCTTGCTTTTTAGAATAATTTTTCCCTTATTTTTGTCTTTTGAGAGGAAGAGAGTAGTGAATTTAATGTGTTTAAGAGTATTTTGTACAGGTTAGAGAAAAAGAGTTAGCCAAATTTTGAAGAAAAAAGAAAAAAAAATACGGACTTGAAACACCATGGCGCGCCCGACCGGGCGAGCACCCGCCCGACTGGGAGCGAGAATAAGTCCGTATGCGAGCATATTTCACCCGACCAGGCGAGATGGCGCCCGACCGGGCACGAGAGAAAGGAATATTTTGGCAATAATTAGCCCGACCGAGCGCACATCCGCCCGACCGAGCGCGAGAATAAAGTTCCATAAAGAGTCAAATTCGCCTGACGGGGCAAATATTCGCCCGACCAGGCGCGAGAGGAAGCAAACTTGAAACCTAAATCTCGCCTGACCGGGGGAGACCCCGCCCACCGGGTGCGAGCCCAGCGAATTCGAATTCGTCAGATCGCCCGACCGGGCGAGAGGTCGCCCAATCGGGCGCGCCTCTATTTCTCCGATATTTTCTTCTTCTTTCTCCTTTCTTTTTCTTCCCTTCTTCTTTCTTACTCTTTCCTCCATACTTTCTCTCTCTAAAACTCCATGTTTCTCGAACTTCTCTCTAAGATCTCTCCTTCATTCCTCATCCAAAATCTATAATTTTAACATCATTTTACTCCCCTCCTCATCCTCTACACATCCAACTTAATATTGTTTGTTTTTGAAGAATCTAAATTCACAATGTTCAAGAGGGCAAGAAGTCAAATAGGCCATAGTTCGGGTTCTAGCGCATCGGTCGACCCGGATCTCCAACTACCCCAACAATGGCCGACGATAAGGATAACCACGGCACAACAACGAGAAAGGCTACTCAACCTCTACGAACGGGAGGTAATTCCTTCTCGATGGTTACACCGAGACACCCTACAATCCCTAGGATTATACGAGCATGTTAGGCGTTTTATGAACGATATTGGCAAGCGTAAATTTGTAGATATGCATTATCCTACATTTAGGGAATTAACTTGTGAATTTTTGTCTTCTTTAAATGTTGTTCAAACAAATAATGGACCAATTATGCATTTTAGATTGAACAATAGGAATATTAGGTTAACATATATTGAATTTTCCCAATTGTTTGATCTTGATCCCCATCCCCCGACCCAATGGCATGAAGAGTACAAAGCTGACGATATTTACTTTGCATTGTCGGGTAAACAGTGCCCTAACTCTCAGCATGCTAGTACTCTTCCCTTTCACCATCCCGTCCCCAAAATCTTCCAAAGATTTTCAGGGACTTATTTCCTAGCTCGCCACGAACCCCATAATGCCCAAACCAACGAGCTAGCTATCCTAGGGCACTATGTGTATGGATACGGGAAATTGAACATCGCCCGTTTTATCATTACCCATCTGAGTAGGCACGCCAATGCCTGTCGCAACAATGCTAAAACCCCTGTTCGTTGTGGCGGCCTAATTACTAGGATAGCAATTAAGAAGACGGGTTTTAACGAGTCTAGGTATGAGGGGTTAACTAACTGTGGGGGGGACACTCTAATGAATTTACCGTATTTTCAATTTTTGAACTGGGTTAGACCTAACCATAGCAATGTTCTAGAGTGGCTTGTTAGGGTAGGAAAGGACTACACCCCCGTTTTCCCTCTTCCTAACCCCGGGCTGACTGCCTTTCCCCCTGGGCAAGAGGCTTACACATACGATATTCTGCTTGTCCATGCCCAGGGCTCGGCACAGCCCCGACCCCGTGCACCATCACCACCACAGCCACACGTTGAGGCACCACCACCACCACACCATGTGCCTCAGCCACCCCCACAACAGCCTAGGCCAGACCCCGAGACCATTTGGGACCTTCAGATCATAGGTCAGGCTATAGGTCGAGTAGAGCAGCCCCAGGGAGACCTTAGGAGGATAGTTGGCTCTCTTGATCAGAGGCTGGGGTACGTTGAGAGGAACCTGGGTAGGGCCCTTTTTCCCATGTATGATGACTATGCTCGTCGGGGTGCTATTCCCGACAATGTTGTTTACCCTGACTGGTACCAGCCACTACCCCAGGGATATGTGGATCCCACCTCCCATGGCATTTACACTAACTATTCTGCATTTGCTGGCTATGGCCGAGACTTTCCCTTTGGGGGGTTAGGGGGGGATGTTAACCCTAACTATTTTGGTGGTAGCTCTTCTGGTGGTGCAGGTGGTAGTGGAGGTGGTGCGATGGATGAGGATGGTGATGATTAGCCATGCTGGGCTAATTCCCAAGTCTATGAGGACATTGTCTGATTTTGGCTTGGGGGAGATTTTTGGATTGAGGTATCTTTCTTCTCTCTCTCTTTTTGTTTTTGTTGTGTATAGTTTAGTTTTATTGCTTTCTAGGTTAGATTAAATGCTTTGAAAAAAATAAAAAAAATCCAAAAATACGTTCCAATGAATGATAAATCATGTTTCCCTATGCCCCATACATGAAAATTGTTTTGATTCTTGGTATATGATGATGAGTATTGTGGATAGATTAGCCATGATTTGATGTTTGATTGCTTGGATGTCTTAACATGCGTCAATTTTGTCCAACTACTTGTGAATATAGTGCTTGACTAGTTGATTTGGTTAGGAATGTTTGTTAGTTCCTGGTATGTCAATGAAGTTTAGTATTGGTTTATAACTTTGAGTAATGTTTGTATGACTCATTATTATGCACATTGAGGAGGACGAAGGCATTTGTTCTTTTAGGTGGCCTTCAAATGATTTTAGATACACTTGTTCCCTTCTTGCTACCCATGTTGTTGCCTTGACTTTTTATTGTTTTTTAGCCACATTACAAGCCCATTTTTGCCCCATTGGTTACTAGTCTCAAGCTTGGCTTGGGGGGAGCTAATAGTGAGTGAGGTGAGGGAGTTGTAGTGTGCACATAATTTGCACAATTTTGGGTGGATTTGAGAAGTTTTTATTTGTTCTTATTTTTGTGGATTGGAAAATAATTGAGAAATTGTTGTTTAGAGAAAAAAATTCCAATGTGAGATAAAAGGAAAAAAAGAGCAAAAAGAAAAAAATATGTTCAAATGTTCTAAGTGAAGGTTGATCAAAAAGAAGGGAAAAAAAAGGAAAAAAGATCAAATTCAAAAGAAAAAAATTCAAAGTTTGTTTGATTCACTCAAGTTCTTTATCATCATAATATTATGAGTGAAGTTGTAAGTGTTGGGGGAATTTTGTTATGATTGAATTGGATGTTTGGTGAATTTTTGGTAGGGTTGAGTTGTGTTGGAGATGATTTGGTCATTATTTATTTTTGACCTTGGTTTTATTTATTAGGATTTTGGCTCCCTTAAGCATGGCTTTATTCTCACATTTTCCCAAATTTATCCTACCTTTTACCCTAACCTTACATTACAAGCTTTGAAGACCTTTCGACCTTTGTGCATAGAGTTGTGTGAATGTGAAATTAGTTGTTTATCAATCCAAAAAATGATTTGATGTATTCCGAGTCGACTACTAGGTTGAGTGCATGTCTTTTAAACACATGAGTACGTGAGTTGGGAGGGCATTGTTCACATTAAAGGGGTTGGATGGAGAGCGATCGAGTACATCTTTTACTCGCCACATAAATGAGAGTTGAATGTGTGAGCACTAGTCTTGAACTCTATATGCTCTTGTGGTTTGCTCTATTTGACAATTGTTAGGAAGGATGAGTAGTTGGATGGATTCGATTGGTTGATTTTGATGCATGCTTGTTGGATTTGCCTTGAATTGGTTATGTTTGGTTTTAATTGATTTTTGGGGTGAAGAATGATTTATTTGTTCGTTGATGAGCTCTTTGCTTTGGGACAAGCAAAGGTTTGGCTTGGGGGAGTTTGATATGTTTGTTTTATATAGTGATATTTTTGGCACTTTTATTACTAATATGCGTTTTCTAGTGTTTTCGTAGTTTTGGTACTATTTTATAGGAAATTGCAGATTTGGAGCATTTTCCCGGACTATTGATAAGCCACTACGAGCATTGGAGAATTATGACCGTATTTCATAGCCCAAGACCGGTTGGGGTCATCAAATTGGTGATTAAGGGCTCGGCATAGAAGAGACCGAGCTGAGGCAATGGACCAAGTATTCAAGACCCAAGGTGGAAAACCCGAAATTGGGCCAAGAGAAATAGCCCAAAAGTGAATGTCCAGCTTTGCCCGGGAGCTCGCCCGACCGGGCAAGCCCTCGCCCTGAGGCGCGCCCGGCCGGGCGAGGCATATAGAGGAAAAGAAGTGTTCGCCCTAACGCGAGCCCGACCGGGCGCGAATGAAGCTAAAAGAGTCAAAAAGGCGGGCCCGGCCGGGCGAAGCTCCGCCCGACCGGGCGCGTGATTCTGAAGAGTTTTAGGATTTAATTTGTTTTATCTTTTTAGCCTAAGTATAAATACGATTTATTTTAGGAAGTTTAGGACGAGTTTTTTTTATTCTCTTTACTTAATTTTCGGATTTAGTTTAAGCTTTTGTTAATACTCTTACTTTCTCTCTCTACACTCTTGAGATTTATACAATTCACCATTTTCGTTTATTTTGGTAATGATTTCTTCCCTTTTATTTTCAGTAATTTTATTGCTTAGATTAATTATGTCTTGCATAATTGTTTTGATTAGTTCAGATTTAATTATGTGTGAGTGGTTTTATTTCTAGGGTTATGGGGATCCATAAATAATATGAAGGGGTAATTTATTATTGTTAATTGTTGATGCTTTGGTTGATTTCCTATTGATTAATTTAATGCTATGCAATTAGATTAGGCCTAGTTTAATTGTATGAGTTATGCAATATTGATTCGAGATTCGAGAGATGAGAATTGATGTTTAGGCTTAGTTTCAATAGGCAGATTAATTTATAAATGGTTAAGTCAAGCTTCGAGAGATGCGATATAATACCGGTAGATTAATTCTGTGATTGTAAACGTAGCGAAAACCCTTTATAATCTGATTAATTGATGCACTGGTAATTGATTGTTGTGTTTTACCCTGGAATATTATTTATTGGTGAACCTATACCCTAGGCCTTTTATTATTGATTTCCTCCCTTAGTTTAATTATTTTCCATTAGTTTAATTCTCATTAAAAACAATTTGGTTACTTGATAATTTAGATTATATTAATTGATTAGGAATAAAAAGACTTGTTTCGCTGTGGATTCGACCTTACTTCCTATCTATTTTAGTTAGTGGTTTTAGGAATTACTTTTGATTAGGTGATACGACTTTAGTCTGTCAGTTACAGCTCTTCATGATCATGTAGTTGCTCTGGAGGATCGGTTGACTACTCACATGGACTCCACAGCTCAAACATTCAAGACTGAAGTGCAGCAGAGTCATCAAACCATCCTAGATACCATCAAGGAGGTCGCATTTGAAGAAGTAATAGAGGAAGATGCTGCTGCAGCCCAACAAAACCCCCAGCCCAAGCCTAACTCACTTAGCCTCTTTTGCAATTTATATTGAACAATGATGCTTTTTTTTTTTATTTTTTTTTATCTTGAACTATATTTTTCTCTCGGTTTGTAATTTGGAACTGGCTCTGTTTGTCTTGCTAATTGGTATTACATGTTGGTTGCATACTTTCTATGTGCGCATGCTTAATCATTCCTGCATTCGGATTTACTACCCCCTCCGTAGCGTAGTACTATGTATAGCTTGTGCTCTGTCTTTTATTTTGATAATGCCAAAGGGGGAAGAGGAGGACAAACTCAGCCAAGGCCAAGTCAAACCGGTTCCATTCAAGTCATCATTCAAGTCAAGGTATAAAACTGATATTTTCCATTTTCATGAATGATGCAAATTTCCTTAATTTCTTTTCTTTAACTTTGTTTCTGTTTAATTTAATTTTTAGTTTATTATTTTGAGTGCCTGGATGAATATTTTGTTTACCGAGTTTGTCTTTTTTGTCATCATCAAAAAGGGGGAATATTGTTAACCCTCTTAGTATTTTGATGATTAACAGAACAAAACAAACTCTGACTAATGATGTTTGCTAAGTCTTGGTAGAACAAAAAGATTCAGGCATAAACAAAATGTTGCGGAGTAGGAGCAAAGGGATTGGAAGTCTTGATGATTAATATGCAAGCTTTCAAGAAGAAGAGCAAACTCCAGTACTTAGATAGTTAGATTCTCTGTAAGCACTAGAGTATTAATGTGTAGAGAGGAACTCAGTTAGGAATAAAATGTTTTAACGAAAATACAAATCAGTTTATTCCTTAATTAAAGATAAAGTAAAATCAGTTTTTGATAAGATATATTTTTGTAAGTAAATAATAATAATTGTTTAATTAAAAGATAAGTTTGTTATTTTTAATTAAATAATTATTTAATGATTTTATCTTTTAAAAACAATAAAATCTTTTTACTGGTTTTACTCTTGACCAAGTAAAGTTGGTTATCTATTTTTAAGGAATCACGTGGATGGCTTGAGAGGAAAGTCAGGGAGATCTTACTGCCCACTCCCTACCCAACGTTCTCTAACTTTCATAGTTAAGGGTGAATGTGGATCATGGGATGAGTGGGAAACAAGATTGAGACTTTCCCTCTCTCTATAAAAGGCTAGCAACGATTCTGATTTAGCAGTGGAAAAATATTCAGTTTTCAGAGCTTTAAGTTTCCAAAGTATTTACTGTCTTAGAGCTGAGTTCCTTCCTACCTTAATCCTCTCTAGTGCATTAGGAAAGTCTGTAATTACTTTTGTAATTGGGATTGGGGTTTGTGAGAGTTGTAATTGAGAGACTTGAGTGAGTCTATCACAAAGTTGTAAGTGATTCAGAGTCGAATCACTGAGAGAGATAAGCTACGGCTGAGGGACCGTAGCTGGGGTACTTGAGTTCCTAGAGGAACTTAAGTGTAGGCTGAATATTCACAGTTGTAAATGAGTTTTTGCATAGTGAAATATTTCGAAAAGTCTATCTCGTGTGTTCTCTCTTTTCATACTTTGTTTAATTCACCCCTCCCCCTCTTGTAATAGACATCGTTCCAACAATGAAAGATCTACCAAGTATTTGAGTGAAAACACATACACAGTCTCCATAATAAGCAGTAGATAAATACGATTTTGAAAATTCTATTTTATTCAATTCACATGCATAGTTCTCGTACGTTACGATGATTATCTAAAAAATATAAACATCGTTGAAATTTTTTGGTTTTTCCTTTTTCAAAAGTTAAACATTACAGACTGATGTAGCTAATAAAGGCTCGTTGGCAAATTTATTGAAACTTGTAGATAACAA